ATCTGCTGCCCTCAGATCCACATCCATCTTCCCAAAGAATGTGTGCAACAGCTCTTCCATCAGCTCAATGGGAGGGCTGAAGAAGCACACTGGCTCTGGCGCGTCCTTCGCACGGTCATTGACCTTGGGCTCGTCGTCCATATTCGTCCATCCTTCTGTTTTGCCTTTCAGAGAGATGAGGTGCTTCTTACCATAGAGGTACTTTTCCTGAGACCATTTCAATGTCCATTCGTCCGAAACCCTGGGCAAGAAGTTTTTGGAGAGCCTTGGCCGGAGCAGCCAATGGCTCCTGTGTCCGAGGCAGGGAACGGCCGGGTCAGAAATACCACTAAAACAACTGGAGCCAAAAGCGACGACGAACGAGTATTTGGAAGCTCCTAAGGAGAGGTCAAATCGTCCTCTCCTTAGGAGCATCGCTAACGACGGCGATGCTCCTAAGGAGAGGACACGGAGAGGACAATGGTATGTTTTGCATGATCGCTTAACGGAATTTCAGTTTCGTCCTCTCCGCGTCCTCTCCTTAGGAGCATCGCCAACGACGGCGATGCTCCTAAGGAGAGGTCAAATTGTCCTCTCCTTAGGAGCTTGTCAGGGGCAGCGGAGAGGCTCCTAAGAGTCTTTCGTCTTGTTTTTGCTGTCATGGATTTCGAGCTCGACGAGCAGCTGGCTTCTGCAAGGCCGCCGCTGTGCAAAGATTTGCTGCCATACAAAAATGAGGCTCCCAAGCGCCCAGGCCGGATCAGCCTGTTGCGTTCGTCATTGCTGCCTAAGTAAAACTAAGACTTCCAAGCGCGCAGGCCGGAGCAGCCTGTCACGCTTCTGCCAGGATTGGCGATCCGAACTCAGCCGGAGCAGCTGATGTTCGACTTGCCAAAGTCCACATGAAATTCCCCAGTGCGAAGATTAACATCCACACGGCCTTCGTGCACTGCCACGAAAAAAAATCAAACCAGGTGCCCATGTCGGCCCAAGTGAACCCCTGCTTGGCTCACTTGCACGAAAAGTGCCATGAGCTCTTCAGCATGAAGAAACTCTTGCTTGGTATTGTTGGTGAGACCGCATTTAACACCTTGCATTCGCAGCGGCAACCCTGTGACAATGCGACGGTCTGGGTCTAAGTCTGTCAAGTTGATTGCCGTCAAAATGTCCAAGGCTATTCAGGTCCTGCAAACATTTGGCAACGCCGGTGCCATGCAAGTGCTGCCGCATCCAAAAGAACGCATTTCTGCAATTTTCCACTCTGTCTGGCACTTCATGCAGCGGAAATGCTTTCAGTAACTTAGTGCGAGTTTTGGAAACAAGGGCGAGAAAACTTTCACGTTCATCCTCAAGCTTTGCAGCCAATCCCCCATGGCTGCTCCTGTAACCATGACCCAGCCTCTGGGCTTGCAGGATCCAAAAGAAACTCAGCTGTCTATTTGCTTGACAACCGCATCCATGTGGACTTGCCATCGCCAGACCCAGCGCATGCAGCCTTGGCCGGATCAGCCAAAGACTGCATGGCGCTGAATGTGGCTTTGGCCCGAACAGCCAAAAGCCATGCACGGACAAGGACAGGAATCTGCAGCAGTTCAGAGCCCAACGCCACGAGAAAAGAAAATAGCGCATGTGCTATCCCTAATAACTTTTCTGCCTTGAAACGTGTTTCAGAAAGGAGACCCACGAGAAAAACACAAATTACATTGGTGACATAGCTGCTGGGTTGAACCTAACGCTTCCAAACATTAAGAGTTCAATGGTCATTTCCCGACTGGAAATCACAGATTGACAGCTGTTTCCAAGTTATCCAGCAAAGTAAAACGCAATGGCGGGTTTACGGGGTCCCTGGTTTTGATGCAGAAAATAACTTTGCTGAGAGCAAACGAGAAAAGAAAATTAGAAATTTACAAGCAAAAAAAGCAAACATTTTTACCCAAAAAATAGTCCAAAAAAAAATCTAAAATTCCGCTAAGCAAAAGCAAGCTTGGGCCAGGTCGCCCCTCCCGCGCCATGTCACCGGTTTAGAGGCCCTCAATCGGGAGGCGAGCTCATCGGCAGAAAGCGCTTCCGCACCAGGGCGCACCAACACCGCAGGTGAGGGCCCGTCGGTGCCACAGCGGGGCTACTCGGCCGCGGTTTTGCGTGGGGCAGTAGCACCTGCCGTGGTGGGGGCTGCAAAGCCAAGGCTGACGCCGTCTCTGGGCCCCCCCGGGACATAGGGGGTGTTGTCCCTAGGCGGAGTAGTGCTCCAGGCGGGTGTGTTTCTTGCTGAGGCAAGGGCCGCCTTCCTCAAGTCTGACGTCACAGCAATGGAGATTGGGGCACTTGGATTCTTTGCAGCCGCGTCCATCATTCCATGGCTTACAAATCTTCTGCCCTCCTTTGATCTGGCTGACGGTCTTGAAGGAGTCGCCCTTGATCTGCCGCTTCCTTTCCGAGGGGGCGTCAGGCTCGGCAGCGCGCTTGTTGTGCCCCGCCTCGGGGACTTCAGCCAAAGGCTGGACCGCCGGTGATCGCCACTCCAAGTGGGTGTCACGGAGGGCGTTGTCCAATGCCCATTGGCCTGGCTGTCCACGGCGGATGTACGTGGCCATCTTGCCACGGGTAAGGAGGTCGTTACGTTGCAACCAAAGGAGACTCCCGTGGCCGTATTCCATGGTGTCCTTGAGGGCTCGGTCGCTGTAGTGCAGCGCGCTGGAAAGGTCCATGAAGAGAATCTTGTCGCCTTGGGGTGTCGGCGAGACCAAGAAGTTCCCTGCCCAGGCCCATGCATGCGCCAATACTCGAAGCGCGAAGTAATACTCCGTCACGTTGCGGAGGCTCACGGAGACCTCCTTCTCAAGTTGAAGTTGGAGTCCACCTGGTAGTGCAATGGAGTCGCTGGGCCGTGGCTGGGACATGGTCAGCACAGAGCGCACCTTCTTCATGTCGACCACCGTCATGGACTGTTTGCGAAACTCCCTGTAGACACGGGATCGAAGTTGCTCTGATGGTTCCAGCACGGAGTCGAAGGACAGGTTGTAGCGTTTAGTCCAATCGACGTTCATCTGCTGGATGGTGGTGTCAGGAAGCACCTCATCCAAGTCTTCGGACTTCGGGGCTGCCTGGGCAGCGTGCTTCAGGGCGGGCCTGATGGCCCGCTTCATAAGCGCTCTTGAAGCGCGCCAGGGCAATGCGGTCGGACTTGAGCGAGGTCACCTGGTCAATGTGCTCGGCCAGGGACTTCTCCCAGTCAGAAGCCTGGATCATGTAGACAAAGTCGTCCAGGGTTGAGATTGGTGGAACTTGGTGTAGGACTCGATCCAGCTCTGCTCCAAGTTGGCGCCTCGGAAGCATGCCGCGAGACCGCGATCGTCCTGTAGCACGTCAATGCGAGTCATGGCACTCAGGAGAAACCAACACACCGAAGGGGTTCTTGGACCAAAACTCAAATGATCGGGTGTGGACCTAAGTGCAAGACAAGGGAAGGAGGAAACATGAAACCCAAGCATGGGTGCATGAACCCACCTATCCAATTAACAGCATAATCGCAAGGCATGCAACCGACGACAGGGCACTCGCTGAGTGTCAGCCGCGGCACATTTTCCTGTGACATGCTGGTTCAGATAACCCAGCTGTTATACTCCGCCAAGGCCATGTATAAGCCTCGGGGCATACGGCTAAGGCACCGCTCACAAAAGGAAGACCTGTTGGTCCCAGAGCACCCACGTCCGCGGCTTTGGGGCTCCTGCACAAAGGGGAAGTCGCGGCACCACGGTGTGGGTCTGCCTTCCATCTCTTCTCTGATCAGATGCGTCTTCTTGCCCTGGATGAACCATAGAAATTCTTCAGCAGCCATCTCGTCTGCCATGACCCCATCAAGGTCGCCACCTTCAGCACACGTCTGAGGCTGAGCTGGAGTCACCTTCCGATGAACTGGAAGAGGTCTCAGTGGTGGGAAGTCCAGACCCGGCCGGAACTTCCTCCTCCACAGGTAAGGCTCCTGGTGCGACTTCAATGGCCTCGCTGAGCTCCTTCTCGATGGCGGTAGTGTCCTCGGGGAACAACTTGTGGGCCGCCGCCAGTTCTGGCCACAACCAGGCATCTCGACAAAGGAGTCCATCGTCTGTCAAAGCCAGCTCCCGACGCTTCTTGTGGAAGAGGGTCAGGAAGCGGTTCACAGACCTCTGCTTCACTTGCAGGGAGCGTAGGACCTTGGACCCTGCATAGTGCACCCCCATCGACAGAAGGGCACGAGGCTTTCCAGCTGAGGGGTCCCGGCCACCTCCAGCTGGAATCTCGGTCCAGTTGCCTACTGCCTGGAGGTCTAAGTCCGGCAGTTCGAGAATGTTTACAACCGTAGGGATGAACCTCCGAAGCCGATTGTATCCTGCGGCTTGGGCATTGGTGAATTCCACCCCGATCTGGTAGAGGGCGCCCCGCAGGAGTTCGAGGAAGCGCGCCCTGGACATGGCCTTATTCACGATGAGGCCCGTGTGTTCCGTGACCTCCCAGAACTCCTCCGGGTTCAGGGACACCGCAGGGATTAAGAAGCCACTGGCGCTCGACCTCCTTGAAGAGAAGGCCTCGGTCCCTGCAGCTGCAGCACAAGAGGTGCTCCCGGTCACACTCTGTGCAAACAGCACGGGGTGGATGTGAGCAAGCCTCACAGTAGCAGCAGGTCCAAGCGCCACACGCGTCGCAAGGTTGGCCACCCAGAGCCCTCAGATCGGCCGCTGCCTTGTGGTGGTAGGCAGCCCAGGCCTCCTTCGCGCCTTGGACAGTCAGGCGCTCCGACCGTGTGAGGTCCCGGACCTCCACAGCCGGATGTGCCCGAAAGAAGCCAAGGGCAGCGGCTTTCCAGGCGGGCCAGTCCACAGGCGTAAGGGCCATGTCAAAAACTGGTGACTGCCTGGATGACTTGAGCCAAAATTGGCATAAGTCATCCAGCAGTCAGCCAAATCTTTTCAAATCACATAAAGACCCTACCCAACCATCCTACTCATATGTTAGAATAACCAAATCCAATGCAGTCGGGATGCTGTGAACTTCTGCGGGTGGGGCAGGCCTACGAAAATGCTCCCGAAGTAAGCTGTTTTGTACCTGCTCACATCGACTGCCCAATTTTGGCTGTGGCATTCAGCTGTGAGCATGGCAGCTGTAAAATGCTTCGAAGCAGGGTGCATGACAGTCCGATTGTTCCTGAGCACCGGAACATACTGCTTGTCTAAAATGATCTTGACCTCAGATGCGGTCAAAAAAAATCAGATTCCCGGCTCAGTCACTGTCAAAATCTGCTTCGAGGCATCGACAGCCGAAGGGTCCGCAGGCTCCAGAGTTTCAAGACTCTGCTGATGCGCCTTCAGCTTCGCTTAGCAGTCTTAATTGTACACCTGGCAACTTTTTTTACTGCTTTGCCCAGAAATGAGGTATATGATGCTATATGGTATACCGGTATACACCAATGGCCCAATGGCCTCAAATAGGAAAACTTATGTCCGAGGTCCTAAACCATGGGGGTCCCTCGGTACCGCATTGGGGAAGACATCTTCGTTCTTCGTGGCTCGCCCAAGGACTCCGCCTTTATGTCCAGGAGCAATGGCCTTGCCAATCCCGCAGCAGGGACTGCCTCACATCTGGGTGCAACATGTTCCCAACATGTTCCCAACATGTTCCCAACATGTTCCAACTGGACAACTGGATTGTATTTGAACTCTCTGGGCATCCAGCAAAATAGAGAATAGAGAGACCTAGTAGAGCCTCAGGAAGTCACCGCACGATCTTCTGAAAGGATCTGAAAGGATCTACAAGGACAACAATGCAAAAAGACAAAGACTTTTTCAAAGACCTCATTGGTCATTGCAGTCGTTTCACCCAACTGAACATGACCAAACCGTTGCAGTGCCGTTGCAGCAATCCTGCACTGTAATCTGGCGGCTAAGCGGGCCCTCTCGCAGCACCAAGGGGCAAGTTGGGTGATCGCTCTCGGCCACATGGCGTGATACGACTGAAGCAGGGCAGCTTGGAAAATTTGGAAAGAAATCATCAAGATACGTTGCAACATGTCACAACATTTTACAACAGCAACATGCAGTGACACGCAATGCGTTTACGCATCCTTTTTGGACACCAACCGTTGCGCCACGCGACACATAAAGGAACTGAGGACACCACAGGGTTGTTCGCTATCAGGGTATGGAGGCGTGGCCAGTACTTGAGCCGAGCAAGCATAGCAAGCATAGCATCGAGTGATGGCAAGGCTAAAACCACCAGAAAAGTGGATGTAGCATGGGCAAATCTGCCTGCAGTTGCTGCTTCAGGATTCATCGGAATGTACAGATATTGGGCACAGCCAAAGTACCGCCATGATTAGTCACAAATTCCATTTGTTGCCTGCTTTGAACAAATCCGATCCCATGCCTCGTTCATTTGCCTCAGTGCACGATTAAAAGAAGTGAGAGGCTGCGGAACTCTCTTGTTCACTATACTAGATCACCTTCTATCACATTCTATCACCTTACCATGGTCACCATGCTCTGACCGACTCCTTGACAAACGCGTCTCAAACAACAACATGTCGACTATCCCACTGGTAGTGAGGCCCCTACTTCACGAGGCTTCCGCCAAAGGTATTTCAACTGATTCCGAAAGCCCTCATCGGTGAGACTTTGAAAGGGCCAGATGCAGGTCACTGCAGGCCCCACTGATAAAATAATGCAATGCTCAAACGTTCACTGAGATTCCACAGGCCTTTCGGCTTTGGGAGATCTGAGCCTGTGATGCACGACAGAGAATCAGAAATGAAAATTGAAGGGAATGAAACTGTGCAAAAGCGGCTCTTGAAAACGGAGTCACAAAAGACTGTCAAGATCCCACCTCCAGTTGCTGAAGTTGCTTTTCCATCCACGGCACAGCATTCTTCACAACCACTTCAGTCACCACCTGAAGGGAAAGGTTGCTGTACATACTATACATTCATTTCAGCAAAACCCAAGTGACCAGCAGGTACTGAAACAATCGCAGTGAAAAAGTTTGAGATGGCGCAGCAAATTCTAAGGTTCTAATGACATCGTGGATGCAGCATCTGGACAAACACAGTGCTTCAAGGACTTCACACTTTCCAAATCTTTCCAAACAGTTTGCACTATCTTGCAGTGATTTGGCAACCCACCGGACCCAAAGTTGTCCTTGACTCTTATATTAGTCGTTTTTGTATGTTTTTGTCGTTAGGTTTCAAACTTTCTGGGACTGTAAAGAAACGTACCGCGGTCACCTGTCACCGAGTCACCTGCGCTAAATTCGTGAGGTCCTCCTGCGAGAGTCGCGTACCAGGAGACGGAGATGGGCTTTCATTTGGAGCCTGGCACTGTGATGTCCAAATGAAGAAACTGCAAACAGATCAAACGGCCTGACAAAAGTTTCTGACTTCGAAAACTTTGTCCTGCAGTCTTCGAAAACTTCGAAATCGTTGAGATTCACACCGGAGGTGGCGGAGGTGCACGACGACTCCGGCATGTCTTGAAGAGGTCCTCACAGAAGCAACAAACCTGCACAGCCTGCACCTGTTCGCAAAAGGACACGCAACGAAAACACTCCTGAATCTCCTGTTCGACATGATCAGCCTCAGTAAAAACTCACTTCGTCAAGTCTGCACTTGTTTCACCCAAGTTTCATGAAAATCAACCAAAATCACAATGTTTCCCAGCACTTGGAACTGCTGTGGAAAGATATGGAAAGAACATCTTGCAGCAGTGATCTCAGTCTGTGGCAGGACCATGATTGATTTCCAGGACAAAAACTTGATTTGGGGCAAAGCTTGTTTTCAAGTTTTCCAGTTTCCTGACCAGTTCTTCCTTGCTTGGACTAGCTGGATCAGATGCATCATGTAGAAGCACTGCAACTCTAGAGGGCACCGGGTCAAGCACTCCCTGGGTGCAAAGTGGTGGCATATTCGAGGAATGCAGTAGCTGTTCCAATAGCATTGCTGGATCTGATTCCTTCGACATGACCACCAACAAGGCTGCTGTAGGTTGATCCAAGCCTTCATGATCTGACCAACGCAATGATCGGAAGAGGGCGCTTCGCCATTCTTCATACCAAGGACTAGGTGCTTCCAAAGCCTTGGCACTCTGGGAACGTGTTGGTCTCTCCAAAGCACTGGACTCCACTGTCCAATCTGCCAACTGATCTGCTTGGAGCTGACTCAGTTGGACCGCAGAATCGGCATCCGTGAATTGAACTCGGAAATGTTCGATGGCGATCTGACGCTCTAGAGATTGCACCGATACCGAAATCCCAGGAGGAAAATGTCCACCAAAGGGTGCAAAGAGTTCTGCCAGCGATAAACCGTTGATCTCTTTGATCCTGGTTTTTGCATTTGCAGTGCCAATAACGACAATGACAGGTTGGAAAATCTCCCCATGAATCCATTCGGCATATTGTCGCGGCTCAAACATGGCAGGTCATGGCGTCCCAGGGAAATGTTCCAGTCGTGCAACAAAAATGAACGTTTGGTGCTTCAACAGACTGCCCTTGGATTGAACAACCGCTGATGCACCTTCAAACCTCCTTTTCGGGGCCGATTTCTCAACTATGTTTACATGATTTTACATGTAGTTTTTTGTGGGAGCCTTGGTCATTAGTGCTGTAAAGAAATCCAAGGCCCAGTGTTGAAGAATTGTTTCTTTGATAATGGGGCCGTGATCCTATAGTGGCATCGTCTGCTACAGTGGCTTAAGCTTCCCGGTGATGATAGCAATGTCACACCCCAGTACAATTTTGTTTGGCCAGAAACAAAATGAGCCCCTCCCAAGTTTGAAAAAGAAAAGCACCTTTCGTAGATGTATGCACAGTTACACAAGAATACACAAGATATGCGTCTCCTAAGATGCACAACAGTCTGTCAATAGCTGGCCTCACACTTGAATGCAACCACTACAGCAGCAGCAACCAGAGGCAAGAGAAGCAAATAATGTAATCAAAAGACATCAAAAGAATCAAAAGCATGTTCGATAATGTTCGATTCGCTGTAAAAGGATGTATACTGTATATGGTCCTGTTATCAAGCCTTAGCTTTCGCAAAAAACATCTTGAAAAATATTGGGGTTGCATGGTGGCCCATGAGGTTTCAACCACATCCGCCTCTGAATGGATCAATCCACAAATCTCACTGCCACTGGGAAAACATCAAGAAAGTAGCTGCCACAGTCAAAATAAATCGACAAAATCTCGGCCTTTATAAAGCTGGTCATATGCAACAGCCTGACCATTTGAACTCGGTTCTCCGGGACTCTCCCCATGTCTGAGCTCGCGATTTTTTGCCAAGCCGCTCCAAGCCTCATTCTGGCAATGTCTGACACGCTGATCTCGGACTCTGGATGACTCTGTGACTCTGGGCCCAGCTTCAGACAGGAAAGTGATGTGGTCGAGCATTGCTGCCGTCCAATTGAACAGCAAGTGCGACCGACAAATCAATGCCAGAGTCTTCCTCTTCGTTCATGGTGCGGTTGACCCAGAATCGCATCGGACTTATCACGCCTTCACATCTCCACGACTTCTGCAGCCATGCCACCAAGTTCTGGCGTGGAGTCTAGCAATGTCTGACATTCTGAGCGCGGACTCTCCCAAGTCAGGGCCAAGCTTCATCTATAGAAAGGAAAGTGACCAGGAGTCTTTGGTCGAGCATTGCTGCTATCCCTTTGAGCAGCAAATCCGACCGTGTGAATCACAAGTCGCTGGCAGAGTCTTTGTTGTGCGGTTGACCAATCGCCTGGGACTTAGATGCCGACCCAGCTTCATTTGCAAGAGCATGGAAGGGATAGTTCTGCATCTGTTTGTGTCAAGCATTGCTGCCAAAGCAGCAAATCCAACCCTTTGAATCACACAAGTCTCACAGGATCTCACAAGTTACTGGAGGGGGAGAACTGGCACGGATCTCCAACCATAAATTTGCGGTATACTTGTTTTTTGGTTTTTGCTGTTTGACCTGAAAAATAATTACATTGAAATTCAGTGGCAAACGGCATTTGTTTTGACACTGCGCTGCGTCGATGTGAGAGCTTCGTTCAGCCTTGCGAATCTGGGAGTCTTTTTTGTGTTCCGGGACCTGTGGGCTTTGGTCTTCAGCGCTGTCATTGAGTCATGTACGGCAAGAGCGCTGCATATATGTCCCACTCAGCAGAACTTGGACTTTGGATCTCACACCCCACACTGATGCAAATGCAACGAGACGCATGAGAAATCGACACATCTCTAACTGGGCCAAGTTGGCTTCGCAGGCTTGGGCACGGCCCGGGAAGAGGTTTCAGGCAATTCGAGTGGGACCTGCCTGCAGACGCCCAGGCGGAGGTCATCAGGGTGCCTCGCAAAATACACAAGGCTGGAACTTACCCAATGCTTTTTTGCGGCACATTATTTTAAGACAGATTTTGGAATGTGGGTCAAGACGATAGTTGACAACGACAATTTTGAGCAGAGAAAGTCAATGCACGAGCCACGCCGCTCGGTTCATTGCGAGGCCCGGGGATTGCAAGGCCAGGGAATCTGGCGCATAGTTTCAGCTCGCAAAACATCCAACCAGCCAACCGCGAAACAGGACTCTCAAAAACAGCGTTTTGACATGGAAACAGCGACGCGGTTCAAAGGTGGCTGTCAAGGGGAGCCGTCCAATCTTGGTGGGCAATGGGAACAATCAAACAAGCTAGGTTTGGGAGTTGCATGTAAAACGTCGTTGTGTCAGCTAGTTCCAAGCTTCAAGACAAATCTGTAGGATGCTAACTGCACATGCACGCGCTCTGTTAACAAGGAATGCTCTTGAAGGCAGGGCACACACCTCTGCACACATTGCCACTGATGCTGCTTGTGTCTACGATTTCCAGGTCGTCAGGTGTCAAGCAACCTTGACAACGATGGACGTCACTAGAACTGCCAATTAGAGTAATTAGAGACCATGAGTTGAAGGTTTTCTGCAAATTTGGAAACAAACTGTCGGCGCAGGGCAACAACATCTGTTCAATGGAATTTGCAAAACTCAGGCGACGTTGCATTGTTGCTCTATGTTTGGTCTGCATCATCTTGGAAGCGCACCAGGAAACATGCCTGAAAAGGAAATGCATCATTCCTGAGCGGCTGTGCCACTACCGTAGCTCCTGGCGCTCACAGAGACAGAGTATTTTGACCGCTCAGTTTGATATGATTTGACTTCAGAAATGGCAGCCTCCATCGCAAGCCCCAAATGATACATCCTGAGTCTTCAATCCATCTCCCTTGGCACACGCCCTGAAAATGCCATGTGCAAACCCTATACTAAATCTATCTAAATCTTGTCTGTGGCCAATCAAAACGGACGGGAGCGCTTCGTTGTGCTATGCCGTCAGTCATGCTGGAGTCAAGAATGGTCTTCCAATCAATATATCAGAATCCGAGGAAAATTTAAAACTAATGGTCTTCGAATGCCCTACACGGACTTTCATGAAACGTTCATGGCCTTCAGATGGCAGGAAGCAACTGGGACATCAACACTTTCCTTGGGAAGAATCTGACACTCGCTCAAGATGCAAGATGTCTTAAGTTCTTTTCTTAGAAGAAGAACTTGCAGCAACTACTACCTACAAATTGGGTCTGAATATCAACCACCCAAGAAACAGTGAGGAAACAGGACTCTCAAAAACAGCGTTTTGACATGGAAACAGCGACGCGGTTCAAAGGTGGCTGTCAAGGGGAGCCGTCCAATCTTGGTGGGCAATGGGAACAATCAAACAAGCTAGGTTTGGGAATTGCATGTAAAACGTCGCTGTGTCAGCTTGTCCCAAGCTTCAACACAAATCTGCAGGATGCTAACTGCACATGCACGCGCTCTGTCAACAAGGAATGCTCTTGAAGGCAGGGCACACATCTCTGCACACATTCCCACTGATGCTGCTTCTGTTCACCATTTCCAGGTCGTCAGGTGTCAAGCAACCTTGACAAGGGTGGACGTCACTTGGATGTCACTAGAACTGCCAATGAGAGACCATGAGTTGGAGGTTTTCTGCGAATATGGAAACAAGCTGTCGGCGCAGGGCAACAACACCTGTTCAATGGAATTTGCAAAACACAGGCGACGTTGCATTGTTGCTCTATGTTTGGTCTGCATCATCTTGGAAGCGCACCAGGAAACATGCCTGAAAAGGAAATGCATCATTCCTGAGCGGCTGTGCCACTACCGTAGCTCCTGGCGCTCACAGAGAAGAGAGTGTTTTGACCACTCAATATGATATGATTTGAATTTGACTTCAGAAATGGCAGCCTCTATCGCAAACCCGACGTCGTGACACATGCTGAGTCTTCAAACAATCTCCCTTGGCAAAGGCGCTCAAAACGCCATGTGAATGTGCAAGCCCTATACTGAATCTGATTTGTGGCCAATCAAAACGGAGGAGCGCGCTTGGTTGCGACATTCCGTCATGCCGAAGTCAGCCATGGTCTTCCAACCTGTTGAGAATTCCAAACTAACGATCTCCCAGTCTCTGAGATGCACCAGCACCTCCCATCCAGTGGACAAGAGCCAGAGTTTAAGGACCGAAGGAATTCTGGCGCAGATTCGAAAATCTGAACATCTACAGCATGCTGTAGAGTCATTGTAAGAGTTCGCAGGGTGCTCCAAGATTTCGTGCTGAACACGCAGTGCGACATGTACCAGAATGAACTGGAGACGGCTTTGAGACACAGAATCTGGCACAAGTTGCTGAAGCCTCGGGAATAAAGAAATACCTTGTCTCCGACAGCCCAAAGCAGCTGGACTGACTTGTAAAGATTGAGACAAAAAATGCTAAAGCAAAATGAAAATATAATACCGTGGCCGGATATGCGCAGCATTCAACACTTGGTCTTAACCAAATCTTGGCTTGGAAAAATATGGGAAAAACTGCCATCTCATATTTCATGCCATCTCATGCTATCTCATGCCGTCTCATGCCGTCTCAACACTTACCGAGCACAGGCTTTTCCTACATGCATGACAGGCAGGCAATCCGCCTCCAGCATTCATGCAAGATGTAACCCGTCAACATACCCTTCATGCAAACAAACTACATCAGAATCATCAGAAACGATATCACCTGAGCCTGAGGACTCAATCAAGGAACGACACCCGGATAAAGAAAGCGCCACACTCTCAAAGATCACCATCGAATGGCTGCGCAGATCTTTTCAGGTTTGGGACAATGATGACACGCTGAAGGCACTCTCTTCAACTCAAACAGGTCTTGCGGTGCGGAACAGTTCGATAACAACCTGCCTCAGCAGTGTTTCTTTCATGTAGGTAGAAGGCCAAAGCAATCACGCCATACCACGACACATCTGGAGCATCGGGGCGAGCAAGCAACTGTTTCAGGGCAGTCCCTCAAACCTACAACGGTGCCATGAGCACGGGCTATCTTTGGCCCTATCTTTGTGCATGTTGCACACAATTCGCAAA